CAAGCCAAGCCCAAGCCCAAGCCCAAAAATTATCTAGGGGTTGACAAACTCAAGACGAGACCTGACTCTGCAGCCGGAGCTCAAGATCCCATCTTCCAGATTTGGCAGTTATTAAGATTTTGCCTCATTCTTTCCCTTTCTCTAAACACTAAGTGTGCAAGGACAAGTTACTGGTAAATTTCAATCAGAAGAAGGAAAAAAAGAGAGAGAGGAAAAGATCTAAATTCATAAAGTAAGTCACTTTTAATATAAAATTTAAATCGCAAGTAAATTTTCTGGACCATGTATATAGAGGGAGATATGCTTTGAATCTGCTTTATTGGTGAACACAAAGAAATATGCCAGGGAAATATATCTGGCCAGTATTATAAAAAACTAGGAGGGAAGGAAAGTAAAGAATCCAGATTCTATCTCATTCTAGCTCTCATTTTTAAATGAAAATACTAGAAGCCAATAGTATTCAATACTTCGTGACATTCTATTTGCAAAAAGAGATAAAGCATATCCTATTTGTGGCTTCATTACACTTTACCACTCATGCATTAAGTAGGCAACTCAAATTGTAAAAAAATATTCATAGCCTGTAAAATGATTTCTGACTGTGGTTTTGAAAGGCTACATAAAATTTAACATTTCTAGTCTGGATTCTTTCAAACTTTCTGGTCATTTATTTGTACATAGCAAGCAATCCTTCACTTTTTCTATGGGGAGAAAGGAATTGCTAAAATGACTGGAATGATTAAACAAACCAAATAAAAGACAGAATATGAAGAGACATCATCTCCTAGAATGTTTCAACCATAAATAAAATTATATAGTACCCATCACACACTGTCATTTACATCATTTCAACCAATGGTTGGAGCCAAATGGGCCAGAAATACTACCTTGTAAAAGGGTAACCTGTGTCACCAAGATACTGACCTTGGGGAAATCACTGACATAGTCCTGTGTTTCCAAAACCTCACTCATTTCAAAGAACTGAGCATATACATAGGAATAAAAACAAAGGATAAGTTCTAAATGCAAAATCCAGGTGGGGAGAAGAAAACATAAAAACATACATGAAAAGAAACTGTCCTGTTTGCAACTTTGGGACAGCCTTCTCTTCTTAGAGACCCCAACCCTTGGACTGAAAGAAAAGATAAGCAGGAAGTGCCCTTTGGGGGGAACATCCCTCAGGGACTGGTCTCCAGCACGCAGGCCACAACTCTCTGCTCATGACACGGCACAGCTGTCGTGTGGGTGCAGTGCTCTCTGAGGTCACTGTGGAAAGAGGGGACGAGGCCTGGGCAGGAAAACAGGTCAGAGTCAATAGTAACATAGCACCCTTTTCCCACGTTGCCAATTTCCTGAACCTGATCTGAAGAAATGCATTCCCCAAGATAAGATGTCTTACTCTAGGATGATGACTATCCACACTTAGGGCACACCCTGACTTAACCCTGACATTGATACCCACTCTCTTTCTCTTCTTATTCCATTAACATAAGCATACAATACTTATTATCTCTCTGGCTCTTCTATTCAAAAGAAACCTGTCCCATGAATGCATTTCTTAGACATAGGCATTCTCAATATCCATTCACAAAAGTAAACTGTGAGTCAGCTCAGACCTCTTCCCCTACTCCTTCTGTTCAACTCCTAACCCCTAACCCAACCCCAAATCAAAGGCCCACCTTGGTAAACACCCTTCGGATGGCCTCTTTGCTCAGCTCAGTGCCTCAGAGCCTAGGTGCAAGGAATGTTAACAGGCCTCCATAAACTGGGAAATCTGTTAAAACTCCATCAGACATTTCCTTTGCCTTCCCAGGGCACATGAACAACATAGAATCGACTTTTTCCCCTACCACGGCACACAGTGAAATCTATCATCCACACCCACGTGTTATATCCCAAAAAACAAAGCTCTCAAAGGGCCCAGACATTTCAGAATGGCATTTTTCCCCCTTGGGCTCTGACTTTAAACCTCACTGTGAAAATAAAGCTCTCAAGAAAGTTTCTCGTTCATGTTCATCTCCCCATCCAAGCTCACAGTCCCACCCACTTAAGGACTAACTCAGAACATACCTCCGCTCTTGGAATATTTACTCCCACTTTCTCCAATCCTTATCCAAAAAGTACATGCTGCAATTAAATTTCACTTCCCCTCCCCGCCAAAAAAGTATATATGTCTTTTTATACCAGATTTCCATCAAAACACAACATTCCATGGAATGCTTCCATACTGGCTCTATTACTGCTATATGATATCAAGAATTCATCTACTTCCTAGGGAGTTTCCTCCATTCCTAAAATTATAAACAAACATTATTGAACCCATCACAGGTAGTAAAAGTGCAGAAAAAAAGAAAGGAAACAACAGATGGGCAAAAATGATCAACTGGTATTTTTTTATAATTTTTATTTATTGATTTGAGAGAGAAAGGGAGAGAGAGAGAGAAACATCACTTTGTCACTCCACTTATCTATGCATTCATTCACTGGCTGTTCCTTGTACATGCCCTGACCTCGGATCAAACCAGCAACCTGAACTATCCTTGGCATATAGGGATGATGCTCTAACCAAGTGACCTAGCTGACAAGGGCTATGATCAACAGTTTTCTCCCCTCTGTTCATGATCCCTCTCCTCACTGCAAGCAACTGACTACTTAAATTTATTGCTTCTACCCTGCAAGAACAAGAACATTTTGCCTAGTGAAGCTTCTCTTTGTTCTGTTGATACAAAACTGAGAGGAATATTAAGATTATTTCAAAATACACTAATTTTTTGTTTGTTTTACAAAATGCATAATCATGATAGATCTCCACCTAGTTGCTTCATCCTTGAACTCTAATCTGCTTCAGTCAGTCCCATCCTAGAAACTCCTAAGAAAGAAAGGAAATAAAAAAAAAATAAAGTCCATCTTCTAATCATCACTTACAAGTCATCTGGCTTCTACAGTCAGAAGCATCTCAAGTAAGAATTAACTGAAATACAGATGACGTCAAGTCCTGAACTCCAATTACCTTTGCCACAGATTCACTATATCCCTTTCCTTTAGTAAATGAGGTTGGTTTAGTTGAAATTGTGAAAGATTAAAGATACTAAAGAAAACAGCCAGCTTCCTTCTCATCCCGGTACTACCACCCCTCTCTTCCAATTCCTGACTTAAAATTGATAATCGAGTATCACAAAGACTTCTCCCATCCACACTGTGAATAATAAGAGCTCCCATACTCTGCACTTTGCAGGTATTTTCTCATTTAAACTATCCCAGGAGCCTGCCAGGTAAGTTTGAACATTCCCATTTTACGACTGTGAAAACTGAGGCCCGAAGGGAAAATAATGACAAATAACTATGTCAGTCAATAGATTTAAAATAGGCCATGTTAATCCTTTGTTAAAATTGGAAATTGTTGAGTATTTTAAAGACTGTGTGGATTTAGAACTCCTAAGGCCTTTTAATTAGAAAATTTTAAAAAGCGTACCTGTTTTTTCCTTGAATTCGCTTTGGGAAACAGGCCTGCCGACAACACAGATGTAAATGAAGAACAGCATAGCTCAGGGAAAGGGTTTGGAATAGATGGCATTTCCAGAACATCAAGATCTTTCCTTTCTCTCCTACACCGAGAGAACATAGGATATAATTTACATAAAACAGAAGGTAAAATATAATTGCTGTCAGAATTAAAAAGTTAAAGCCAACATGTACCACTCTGACAACGGTCTGTGAAGTACTTTTCTGCTGGTTAAAATAAAATATGTTAATTGATACAAATCAATCATCTATAGTATCCTATCCTTGGGGTGAGGGGAGGGTGCTTTTAAAAAAATCACCAGGCATGGAAATCCCATTTCCAGTACTTTGATAATTTTCCTGAAGCTGAAATACACACTATACATTTATTGATGCAAAAACCATCCTGAGGAGTTAGGCATTTTTATTCATCCGTTCAAGTCTATTAAATGTAATGAATTCAGCCATATGCTATTTTACTAATCGTTTTGGAGAAGTTTTGGTCTATTAATTACAGCTGTGGTTCATCTCACTCCAAATTTCATTCACAACGTTGCCCAGACACAGTATGTTGATTTTTCAAGTACTTTTAGATACTGAATCACAAGGCAGTGTTTGTGAGGAGGTAAGTGAATAGAAGTTGCTAGTATAAGTGTACTCTTGTCCATTGAAAGTAGTTTTAACTTTAGTGAAGTTGAAGCACTTTTAAAATCTGAAAAGAAAAGTACCAAATAAATGTATGAATGTAAAGGACTAGAGATTTTTGTATCGTTACAGCCTTTTTCCCCTAAAGAATGTGCAAAATTGTGAACGCCACAGGCACTTAGTGCTGAATGCTATGGAGATTGGAAAACCTTTTAAAGCCTCTGTTCTTTGCTGCTGAACAGCAAGACTGCTCAAATTTCAATCCGTGTTTTGCTTTTCCAGGCTCGCTGTAAGGCTCTATGTAGGAGGTAAACTCATTTACTCTACAATTTTTTTCAATCTATAAAATTTAAACAAGGTCTGTTTGTTTTTAAATGCTGGGGTCACGAAGAATGAAGGGAGATGGGTGGTCAGCCTGAAGCTCGGCCTCCTAGTTCATACAGATGGGCAGAGGCGAGAAAGAGACCGCGAGCTCTCAAAGAAACCGCGATGCTATTTATAAGGCTCTGCGAGATCGCAGTGTCCTGCTGAGCCGGTAGAAGCCAGCTCAAAGGGAATTGTCTTCAGAGACTTTTCACAAACTTGGCCCAGCTATGGGCACATGGCTCACCCCCTAGGACCGCCTCCTCGCCCCCTCGCCGGCTGCCAACCCGGGACACTCCCCCGCGCCCCCGGAGGGTTGCCTACCTGTCTGCAGCACAGCCGCGAGTCCCGTCTGGAGGGGGCAGGAGCGCTCGCGTGTGCAGCCAGGGGGCTGACGCCAGGTCGCGGGCGTCGCCCCTCCCCTGAGCAGCGCCGCTCACCTGGGCGGCTAGCCGCGAGTCCCGCGCTGCCGCCCTACCCGCGGGGCTCTGCCCACCTTGAAGGGAAGTGGTCATTGTGGCCCGTCGGGGGACTCAGGCGTCATGGGAGACCCACGCCCAGAAGAAGGTGGTTCGGTGGCGGGAGGCGAGGTGCCCGTTCGTCTGCCCGAGCGCGCTGCAGGTGCGGTGGCCTCGCTGCCTGCGCTCCGGGCCCCGCGCCTCAGACGTTCAGCCGAGCAGTCGGCGAGGCGGCGGGGGAGGGGAGGGGAGGGGGCGGAGGAGGAGGGTGGGGAGAGGGGAGGAGCGCCTGGTGGGTGGGGGCCGCAGGGGGCGGGCGGTGGGACGACACGCTGGGGGGGCGGGGAGGGCGCCCAGTGCCCGCAGGCTCCTCGCGGCCGGCCGGGAGCGCTCGAGGGAGCTGGTGTCTGTACTGCTTCTGCAGCGCCTGGGCTTTGGCTGCCGGCGCCCAAGGCCAGGGTCGCCGCCTCCCCAGGTGGGCGCTGGAGCTGGAGGCTGAGCCCTGGGTCCCAGTGGGACCCGCTCTGCTTGAGGCGAGGACCGAGAAGTACCGGCGATCCCAACGGGCTTGCCTGCCAGACTGCAGGCGGGGCAGGGGTCTGGGCATCGCTGACCCCTACATCATTCCATTCTTGATGCTCTGCAATCTGAGATCACCTAAACTGTGGCTGGGCCGCCATGACAGGCCCCACGGTGCCAGGAGGCCGGGAGACCATGGGGCTAGGTTTTCCCCAGTTCTTATCCCAGGTGTCTCTTCCTCTTTCCACCCCGCCGCCCAAGCTAGGGGTGGGGGAATTGAAGAGCCAGGGACTGGGAGCGGGGTGGAGGGGGTGGGGCGTGGAGGAGACAATAAGTACAATCAGTAAGGAAAACTACTGTTTAAGAATTCTCAGTAAGGCATGAGTAAATCTAAAGATGTCTTAGGAATTAGATAAAGGATTGATTTTCTTATAATAAGAACGCCCATGTTCCATTCCGCCTCACAACAGCCTCATAAATTAGATCTTACCCCATTTTACAGATACGGAAATTAGAGTCCAAAGCCGCGGAGTACCTTGCACAAGGTAGGACTAAGTAATTGGTGCAGTCAAGCTTCCAACCCAGAAGATTCCATATCAAAATCCAGGCTATTAGAAATGGTAATTACATTATGCACACACTCTAAGATGCAGCAGCCCTATTCTGAAGTTTTGGGTGATATTCTGTTTCCGCTCTTCCAATAAGAGCCCCCATCCCAGTGTACCGCTGAGGGTTTCCAAATGTTTTTCCATACACTCCATTCATTGACCAAATTAAGTAACATCTGTCCCTGGCATCTATTTCACCAGGTTTTCTTAACCTCTCCAACCTCCGTCCAGGGAAAGGCAAACACACTGCCTCCTGAGGAAACCGCAAACCTCCCTCCTCCCCACCCCACACGCACACTCACACAGCCCAGGCACCAACCACTGCTGACACCCAGGGGTCGCTAACTCCCAGCCTTTGAGGAAACTATAGGAAACTCCACGGAGGCAGAAGTTCTGTATTTTCCTGATGTCAAAATTAACACCCAGTAAAGAGCAGTACTGGCCTGTGTCACACGATGAGCATGGTCTGGAGGATGCTTTATACATTGCAAGGACCAAGACAGAACAAAACGATAGTGCCCCTGAGGGGTAACAATAATACTGACCATGATGATAGATAACGAGTATTGATGCTGTGTGCCCGGCAAAGTCTTCACTCAAATCCAATTCCCTAAATGATGGTATGAATTCTATGTGTGGGTTTTAAAAGAGTTTAATGTAAAAGCATACAGATATAGTGAAGTCATTCCAGCAAAATAAAAGTTATATAATGAAGAAAACTTGAATGAAAGACATAAAGAAACTTTCATCATCGTCATTATCCCTATTTTCATCCAAAACTCTTGCAGGCAGCCATTTCTCCTCTCTAGAAATGATACTGTTGGAGCATTCCAACAAGATAAATGAACAATAGCCGAAATTTGTTTCCTCCCTACTCTCAACTCCCCGTGCCCCTCAACTCCCCCCCCCCCACACACACACACACAGAGCTGCTTGGCCTTTTTCGTTAGAGAGGACAGGTGAAAGCTGTGCATCTTTGGAATCACTTGAAATACTTTTCCCCAGTAGTGTATCCTGCTCCACTTCCCAGCTTAAGCTTTTAACCTCAAGAAAGAGTATTCGTTGGCTGGAATGAGATCTCTGTTGTGTCTCTCCTCTCCAGATATTTTCTCATTTAGTAAAAATCCAGGGAATATCCATTTACAGGCTTTATGCTCCACCTCTAATAGCCATGGTAAACATTATAATACTTGCAGTTATCAGTGGCCACAAAGAAAAGAACAAGTTTCTCAGGAATGAGAACCTAAATATTTTTGTCTTGTAGATTAGCATTAAATATTTAATTTGCTCCCAGAAACCCTGAAGATCTGTACCAAGAATTATGAGAATTATGAGATCATTCACATTTTTGATTCAAGCCAACAGAAGAACTAGTTTTTGAGGTTTTACAAAAAGAAATGATTCTAAATTAAAGCACTACGCAATATAATAGGTGAGCAATACTATCAGACCTAATACCCCTGAAGAGAATGCAGAGACATTTTTCTATCAAAGAGGAAGTTTAAAAAGGAGATTTTCCTTCCCATAACTGACAGAGATTGCTGAAACAATAGGCAGATGTCTTGGTACCCAGCAGCAGGTTCTCCCAGGGTGGCTGCTCTTCCTTTTACCTTGAACCTCTAAAATTGCAAAGGAAGCACTTGTCTCCTGGCTCCTCCCCTTTTCTACCCTTTGCACTTCCCTTTTTTTTGTCTCTCCCTAGGGACCCTAGCCTCTCTACCCCTCAAGGAAAATATGTTCTCCTTGCTTTACTCTCTTTTTCTTATCACATTTCTTAACTCTTTCTAACTGGGAAGGATAATATACATTGAGAAAAGAAGTTCACTAACAAGATTGCATAATGACTTACCACAAGGCAAACACTGATGTCAAGTCATGAAATGCATTATTATCAGTCCTCGAACAGCCCCTCCCACCAACCCAGATTTTCATAATAATCAACCCATAGTTTAACCATAAGTATCCACCCCTAAACACAATAGAGTCAGTTGTCTAATGTTGATCTTTATTTATTTAAAAGGAATCACACATACGGAATGACCCTTTTGTGCTTGACTCAGTCCTTTACCATATTATTTGATATTCTCCCATGCTTTTATAAGTAGCTGTAGTTCTTTTCATTTTCCTATTATGTGTAGATACCACAATTCATCCATTCCACTACTGATAAGCACCTGGGCTGTTTCCATCTTTTGACTATTACTAATCTGCTACCATGAGCATTCTGTATACTTACTTATCTTGGTGCACAAGTGCATGCATTTCCAGATGGTACACATGCAGGAGTGGCCTTGTGAGGTCATGATGTGTGTATATTCAGCTTTAGTGGATGCTGCCAGGTTCTTAAATTAATTGTACCAATTTTTACCACCACCAGCAATGCATAAGTTTCCAAGTTTTCCCATCCTTGACAATTAGAATATTATTAGGATTTTCACAATAGACATTCTGGTGAGTGCGTAGAAGTGTCTCATGATGGAATTTGACTTTATGACTAATGAGGTTGAGCACTTTTTCACATGATTATCTGCCATTTGAGAAGTACCAGTTCAACTCTCCTGGCCATTTTTATGATGAGTTGTCTATCATTTTTTTTTATTCTTTCACAGGAGTTCTTTTTATATTCTAGTTCCCAGCAATTTGTTATCATATTTTGCAAGTATATTCTTCCATTCTGTGTCTTCCAAAAGATATCTTTTGGTAAACAGGAGTTTTTAAGTATAAGCAAATTTATCTCTTTATAATTCTATTTTATCCTGCTTAGCAATTTTTCCTAAGTTTCCCAGAAATTTTTTTTGATGGTACCATATTTATTGCAGTATTATCAACATGATTTTTTTCTTTTTTATTTTATTATTTTTAATATTTTATTGATTATGCTATTATGGTTGTCCCAATCTCCCCCCTTCACTCCCCTCTGCTCTGCACACCCCTCCCACCCACATTCTTCCCCCTTTAGTTCATGTCCATGGGTCACACATATAAGTTCTTTGGCTTCTACATTTCCTATACTATTCTTAACCTCCCCCTGTCTATTTTCTACCTACCTTTTATGCTATTTATTCTCTGTACATTTTCCCCTCTCTCCTCCTCCCGCTCCCCTGCTGATAACCCTCCATTTCTGTGATCTCCATTTCTGTGATTCTTTTCCTGTTCTAGTTGATTTATTTATTTGTTTGTTTGTTTGTTTTTTAGGTTCAGTTGTTAATAGCTGTGAGTTTGTTGTCATTTTACTGTTCATATTTTTTATCTTCTTTTTCTTAGATAACTCCCTTTAACATTTCATGTAATAAGGACTTGGTGATGATGAACTCCTTTCACTTGACCTTATCTGTGTCCTAGAAATTTATTGTTTTGCCTTTTACATTTAAATCTGTGATCCATCCAAGACTGATTTTTTTTTTATGGTATGAAGGTGGAAAGGTATAGAGGTTCTTCTGTTTTTTTTTTTATATAAATAGGTAATTGTCACAGACACCTTCATTGAAAAATTGTTCTTCTCTCACAACTTCACAATGCCTCCTTTGTCATAATTTGTCTATCGGTGGGTCTTTTTCTGGGCTCTCTCCTCTATTCTGTTGGTTTATTTACCAGTATTTATGCCAATATTACCTTGCCTGAATGACTATGATCAGTAAAAAGTCATAGTATTCAGTATAACAAGGCTTTCATTTTGTTCTTTTTCAATGTATTAATTGTAGAATTTGTTTCCAGAGTTCTACAAAGACCAGCTTTTCATTAGATTTTGATTAGATTACATTTGATTAGATTACATTAAATCAGTTTGGGGATAAATAGCACTTTTTAAAATAATATTCCCAATCTATGAAATTGTTATAGCTTTCCATTTGGTTATACAGTAGACCCTTGAACAACATAGGTTCGAACTGCATGTCTTTTTTTTTTTTTAATCAACAATTTGAAAAATCCCCCAGAAGAACTGTGGAGCTTATAACAGATGATTATAAACTTAAAGCAAGGATAAATACAGTACAGTATTTGTACAGTAAATGTATTTTCTCTTTCCTACAATTTTCTTTTTTTTTAGTTTTACGTTTAAGCTTTTTTTAAATCATTTTTTAAATGATTTTATTTACTTAATTTTAGAGAAAGGAGAAGGGAGAGAGTAAGGGAGGGGGAGTAACATCAATGCGTGGTTTCCTCTGGAGTGCCCTGTAATGGAGAACTGCCCTGCAACCCAGGCAAGTACCCTAACTGGGAATTGAACCTGCGGCCCTTTGCTTCACAGGCCGGTGCTCAACCCACTGAGCCACACCAGCCAGGGCTAAATCATTTCTATTGTTAGTCTATTACTGATTTTCTTAATATCATCTTCTTTTCTCTAATTTACTGTATTGTAAGAATACACTATGTAATACATATTATTTACGAAATATGAGTTAATCCACTTTTAGGGTATTGATAAGGCTTCGAGTCAACAGTACATTATTAGTAGTTAACTTTGGGGGAAGTCAAAAATTATACATAGATTTTCACAGGGCCAATTGGATCTTTAATTTGTTGTAATCATGTTACCTGGTTTTCTGAATACTTTTCATATATATTGTTCAAGTTCTTAGATATTTGATTTTTATACTATTTTGGATACCTTTATAAAATTTGATTTTCTATCATTTGTTGTGATGACAAAAACAACTGATTACTATGTACTGATCGTTTTACCTACATTATAACTTTCATACTCCAACTCTAAAAATGTAACTGAAAGCATTTTTAGGTTTTCTATGTATACCACCTATTATCTATATTTATTGACAGGTTTTTTGTCTTTCTTATTTTTATATCTTTTATGTATCTATCTAGCCTTACTATACTGCTTAGAAATATAAGTACAAGGTTGAATGTGAGTGTTGATAGCACATATTCTAGTTTTATTCCTGATTTCAAAGGAATAGATATTAAATACTGTATTATCATACTTTTACAGATATCCTTTATCCAACAAAGGAGGAAGCTTTCCTCATATTCCTTTTCACCAAGAATTTTTATCACAAGTGGATGTTGAAGATTATTAAACAGCCTTTCTGCACCTACTATGTTGATCATATGGTTTTCTTCCTTCATTCTATTAAAGTAATGAAGTATGTGGGTTTTTTAATGGTAAACTGAACTTACATTATTAGAATAAACACTACTCATTTTGTATATATTTTTGGTGCTTGCTGATATTTTGTTTATAATTTTAATACCTATGTTCATGAATGAGATTGGCCTGGAATTTTCCTTTCTCATAATATTTTCATGAGGTGTAGATATATGGTTAGGAATGTCTCATTTGAGGTGAGGAGTGTTCCTCTTTTTTTTTTTAAATTAAATTAATGCATAACATTGATGTTATTTGTTTCCTAATAGCTAATTCAACTCACTTGTAGAGCCATATGACCCTGTGGTTTTCTTTGTGGAAAAGTTTTTAATAAATGACTTAATCTTAAATAGTTTAAGAGGACTAATCTGAATTCTTATTTCTCCTAGTGTCCATTTTGACTAGTAGTATTTTCTAGAAAATGTATCTCACTGAAAATGTTAAATGTTTCAGCAGAAAATTGTTCATATTTTTCTGTTAATGTATTAATACCTAAAAGATTTATTGTATTGCCCTTATACCTAACATTAGATATTTATGCCATCTTTTTCTTGATTATATTCACCCAAATTTATCAATTTTAAAGTTTTTCAAGAATGACCCTATTGTCTGTCTGTGATTTATCTTGTTTATTTCTATTCTTATGTGTTCTACTTTTGGTGCTGTTCTTTTTTTTTTCTTTCTCTGAATTTTTGACATGGATGCTGATAGCTCATTAATATTTAGTTCTTTGTATTTTATAATGTTTATGTTTAAAGACATATATTTCCTTTCAAGTTTGATCTTAGCTATATCTCTCAAGCTTTATTTAATAAGTTGTATTTGCATTATTACTCAATTCAAACTACTTTATATTTTCCATTGAAATATAGATGTTTGTCTTTATCTTTTGTTCTTTTTTTAAATATGTTTTAATTACCTTGTTGTCACAGAATATACTCTGTGTGATTTCAGTCTTTGAAATTTGTTGAAACTAGCTTTATTGCCCAGCATATGGTCAATATTTATATTATATGTTGTCGCAACCACCAACTGACAGTGACCACGGAACGCTGCAGATGGCTCGTTGAAACATGAGAAAAACATACACAGAGACAACCAGGTCCTGTGGGGAAATAGGGACGGATCAGCCACTCTCTCTAGTGGGGATCTCCATGGCCAACCTCCCGAGGGGAGAGGGCCTCATTCCCCACCCAAGCAGGCTTTTATTGGGTTCATTTACATAAGAATTCAGGTAAAGCTCATTACTCATTGCTAGGAAGTAAGGATCAAACAATAGATAACAAGGAAGTCTGAGCGCCTATTTTGAGTCAAGGTCAAAGAGCTGTAAAAAACTTTAAGGAACAAACTTACTTCTTCCTTGGACCCTTATCATTCAATTGAGAGCATTCTAAACAAAGCAGTTTTCACAGGATTTTACATATTCTTTTTTAGTCCTGATCGCCTGGGGAACCCGCCCTTTCCAGCACAGGGCTGCACCACCCTGTCATTGTTTCAGGCTTAGGTAGAGCAAGGGAACTAAGGCAACCAAGAGATAAGGAGATTTTCTCACAGACAATGAGGACTCAGGCTTTGTCAAAGCCGAGGGGCGAGGGTCCATCACCCCCTTTTGCTGTAGCCCCCAAAGTCCTTCCTTGGGGGCCTCCCATGTGATCGTGCCTGTCTTAAATTGTTCCCCCCTTGGGGAATCTTACCCATCATTGGCTAACCGACCAAGCATTGGGGGCCAGGCAGGGTGAAGTAAAAGGAGCAGAAGCTGTGCTCCTGCCAGGGAGATAAGCTTTTGTCTCCTTGTTGGCTTACAGTCCAAGGCCACTCCCTCAGCCTTAGCCTTGGTGGGGGTTACTGCTTCTGATACCAGGCAGGGCTGTTCCCAACAATGTGTGTTGAAAAGAAGGCATTTTCTGCAGTTGTTAGATTAATTGTTATACATAATATGTCAATGGTACCAAATCTCTCAACCATATTTAAATTTTCTGTACTTGCACTGAATTTTTTATTTGTTTATTTTATTATTTTCTAAGAGATGTTATATTACAATCTCCCATTATGATTATAGAATTTTTAATTTATATTAACTCTATATTTTAATTTTGCTTTATATATTTTAAGGCTATACTTTTAGAGGTTAATTTTAATAATTATTTTACAAATTTAGAATTATTAGGCCTTCTTAATAAATTGAAGTATGTAACACTTTAAGGTGTCCTCCTTTATCTCTAATGTATCTCTAATAAAGTTATTATCTCTAATAACTTTTCTGCCTTCAAGTCTGTCTGAAATTAATAAATTTGATGTGATGCTTTCTGGTACAAATTTTCTCCATACTTTCAGTGTCAATATTTTTTACTTTCGTGTTTTAGAGGTATCTTTTGTAAATGACATGATTGGAGAGCTTTTTCTAATTTGGTTTTTACCCTAGCATATAATTACTGCTTTTAAATGAAGCATTTAAACATTTTGAGTTAAATCTCTATCCCATTAAGTGCTATCTCTCTGTGTAACCATTTCTGTGGTACCACCCCGCCTTTTAATCTTCTTTGTGCCACACCATCTTCCCTGCTCTGCTTACCCATTTGCTCTATCAGATTCACTTTATATCCTTCTCCACCCTGGCCCTGGCCCTGGCCCAAGGAAGGTCAGCTTTATGAATGACATCAAAGTGCTGCCGTGTTGTCTGACTTCTAGTTGATTTTGTTCAATGGAAGACACAGCAGAAGAAACTGAACAGCGGGAAGGATGTGAGGTTAAGATATTTATTTTTCTTTTCCCCCTAATTTCTAGGTTGCATGGCTTCTCCCCTGCAGTGCAATCCACTGCTTGTGTAGGTGTTACTTGACCCTCTTCTTGTTACCCTTTGAGAATTTAAGGCTGAGGAACAACACAAATGCTGAGACTCTGGCTACTGCTATTGATGTGAGTGACTAACTGTCCTTTGTCTCTGATCCAGGACGGTTGTGTCTTATGCCAGCATCCTTGAAACTACGACAGGATAATTTGTCAGCTTGTAAATTGAGTAAAATCTCAGACCCATCACAGTTCTTAAGACACTGGAGTTCTGCATTATTTCCTGTTGTTGTATTTTTTTTTTGTTTTGTTTAAAGCTTTTCACATCTTGATAAAAAGCTCCTTTATTAAACTCTTTTCAAATTACCTAACTCGAGTGTGCCATCTGTTTCTTGCTTAATTAACATAGAAGGACATTTTAACATAGGACATTTTACTATTCTTTTACTAATTATATCAGATCACAACATATATCCTTTTTTAAATATATTTTATTGATTATACTATTACAGTTGTCCCAACTTTCCTCCTTTGCTCCTCTCCATCTGGTACCTGCCATTCCATCTGGCAGTCCCCACCTTAGTTTATACCCAGGGGTCATGTAGATAAGTTCATTTGCTACTCCATTTCCTATACTGTCCTTAACATCCCCCTGTCTATTTTGTACCTACCAATTTGTACTTCTTAATCCCAGCACTTTTCCCCCCATTCTCCCTCTCCCCCTTCCAAACTGATGTCTCTCCAAATAATCTCCATATCTACGATTCTGTTTTTGTTCTTCTTGTTTCCCTAGTTTGTTTTTTAGATTCAGTTGTTGATAGCTGTGAATTTATTGCCATTTTATTGTTAATAGTGTTGATCTTCTGCTTTTTCTTAAATTTAAGTCCCTTTAACATTTCATATGATAATGGCTTGGTGATGATGGACTTCTTTAGCTTTGCCTTGTCTGGGAAGCACTTTATCTGCCCTTCCATTCTAAATGATAGCTTTGTTGGCTAGAGTAATCTAGGTTGTAAGACCTTGCTTTTCATCTCTTTGAATACTTCTTGCCAGTCCCTTTTAGCCAGCAAATTTTCTTTTGAGAAATCAACTGCCAGTATTTTGGGAACTCCTTAAAAGCAGATAGGTAACTATCTGCTTTTCTTCTGCTGCTTTTAAGATTCTCTATCTTTAACCTTTGGCATTTTAATTATGATGTTTCTTGGTGTGGTCCTCTTTGTGTCTATCTTGTTTGGGACTCTCTGTGATTCCTGGACTTGTATGTGTATTTCCTTCACCAAATTAAGGAAGTATTCTTTCATTATTTTTTCAAGTAGGTTTTCAATTTCTTGCTCTTTATCTTATTCTCTGGCACCCATATGATTTGACGTTGGAACATTTAAAGTTATCCCAGAGGCTCCATAGTCTATCCTCAGTTTTTTTAATTCTTTTTTCTTCTTGCTGTTCTGATTAAATGCTTTTTTCTTCCTTATGTTCCAAATCATTGATTTAATTCTTAGCTTCATCCACTCTACTATTGGTTCCCTGTAAGTTTATTTTTTTATTTCATTTAGTGTAACCTTCATTTCTGCCTGGGTCTGTTTGATGTTGTTGAAGTACCTCATGAGTTCCTTGAGCATTCCAAGAACTAGTGTTTTGAACCCTGCATCTGATAGATTGCTTATCTCCATTTTGTTTACTTCTTTTTCTGGAGTTTTGTTTTGTTCTTTCATTTGGGCCATATTTCTTTGTCTTCTCATTTTGGCAGCCTCCCTGTGTCTTTTTCTGTGTATTAGGTAGAGCTGCTTTGACTCCGTCTTGATAGTGGGACTTATTGTAGTAAAGATCACTGGTAAGTTAGATGGGGTAGAGCCTTAGGTAATCACTAGGGTGGGACACCCTGTGTTGCTTGCCCTGTGGCTCTGTATGGAAGAGGACTCAGAGAGGAGACAATGCTGCTCCCTGGCCTCTGGAGTTTTGTCAGGGAAGAAGCTGTCTCCTGGCACTCACCCTAATGCCAGACACTTCAATTTCTCCCTGTATGCCACTGGTGCCCCTCCAGCTGTTGTCCTGATGCAGAAGCCCTGAAGGATTGAGTCTGTGTAAATCCTAGTCCGTTTGGACCCTTTAAAAAGAGACTCCTGAGAATCCCACAGTTTCCTCTGCACCCCAACCCCCACTGGTTTTTATAGCCAAAAGTCATGAGGACTTATCTTCCTGGCACTGGAACCCTTAGTTGGGTGATCTAGTATGGGACTGGGGTCCCTCACCCCTGAGGTATCCCTCCTGATTTTTGTCCAGCACACGTGGTGTAGGACTGCCTGTTCCACATCTCTGTGCCTCTTTGCATCTCTATGCATTTCCACGTCTCCACCCCTCCTATGTGTCTGGATGAATGTGACTTCTTTAATTCCTTAGTTGTTGGACTTCCATATACAGCTCAATTTTCTGATGATTTTGGGTGATACTTGTTTTGCAGTCTAGTTGTAATTTTTGATGTCATCGTGTGAGGAGAATAACCGTGTTTACCTACATTTCTGTCTTGACCAGAAGTCACAACATATATTGTTAACATAAAAATATATTTACTTTATTATCTTTCCAGACAATGTAAGGATCTTAGAACACTGTTTCTCTATTTACCCTCCTCTCAACTTCCATGCAACTATTGCATATATAAATCTCTGCCTGTGTTCATGTGTATTATATCTCAATAAGTTATCATTAATATTGTTTCACACGATCAGTACTCATTTGGTTTTATTAATATATTTACCTTTTTGTTGGTCATCATTCTTTCCAAAGTCATCAAATTTTAAACTACAATTACATTTTTCCTACTGAGTCTTCTGGCAATTAATTATCTTTTATTTATCTGAAAATTTCTTTATTTCAACTTCACTGTTCAATGTATAACAACAAAATTAAGATACCCACATGCCATGCAATTCACCATTTATAAAGTACAATTCAATGGCTTTTAATATATATACATACATTTGTGCAACCAACATTAAAATCAATTTTAAAATATTATCATTACCCTAAACAGAAACCATACCCATTAGCAATCACTCTTTATTTTAACCCAACCCATGCATCCCTAGGTAACCACAAATCTACTTTCTGTATCTGTAGATATACTTATTATGGACATTCCATATAAAAGGGACCATACAATATATTTTCATTTAAGACTGTATACATTCACTTGTTTTTAAGGTACATACATGTTGTAGCATATATGAGTACCTAATTCCTTTTTTATTGAAGAACAATGTTTTAGTGTATGTTTATACTTTTTATTTATTTATTTATTTATTTATTAGTTCATGGACATTTGGATTTTTTCCACTTTTTGGCTATTGTGAATAGTGCCACAGTGAATATTTGTGTACAAGTTTTTATGTGGACATATGTCTTCATTCTTCATTGAAATTGCAGAGTCATAAGGTAACTCTGTTTAATCATTTGA